AGTATACAGTGGAGTGTGATTGACACCCATTGTATTGGTATTTGACACCATGTGTTGTGTTAGTGATACCAGTGTTGTGTGAGAGACAGACCATGTTGTGTGAGTGATACCAGTGTTGTGTGAGGATACCAGCTGGGGTTGTGTGATTAGATAACCACCAGTGTTGTGTGATTGACACCAGTGTTGGTGAGTGCTACCAGTGTTGTGTGATTGACACCAGTGTTGTGTGATGACACCAGTGTTGTGTGTGAGTGCCAAGTGTTGTGTGCAGTTGATACGCAGGGTTGATGATTGACCCAGTGTGGTGCTGAGTGATACCAGTGATGTGTGATTGACACAGGGTTGTGTGAGTTGATCCCAGTAGTTGTGTGAGTATGATACCAGGGTTGTTTGTGATTGCCCAGTGTTGTGTGCGATTGACACCAGGTTGTGAGTAGTGAACCAGATGTTGTGTATGAGTGACACCAGGGTTTAGGGAGTGATCCCAGGTTTTGCGTTGAGTAGATACACAGTGTTGATGTTGATGCCTGTGTCTGTGTGAGTCTGATACCAGTGTGTGTGAGTGACACCCTAGGTTTGTGAGTGATACCAGTGTTGTGTGAGTGATACCAGTGTTTGTGAGTTTAACCAGTGCGTAGTGTTAGTGATACCAGTGTTGTGAGAGTGATACCCAGTGTTTGGTGTGAGTAACTCCAGTGTTGTGTGGAGATACCAGTGTGGTGAGTGACACCAGGTTTGTTGAGTGATGTAACATGTTGTGTAGTGATACCAGGTAGTGTGAGTGATAACCAGTGTTGTTTGTCTGAGTGTTACCATGGTTGAGTGAGTGATACAGTGTTGTGTGAGTGATACCAGTGTTTGTTGAGTGATACCATTGTTGTGAGTAACACCAGTGTTTGTGTGAGTGACTACAGTGTTTGTGAGTGTACCAGTGTTGGGTGAGTGAATACCATGTATTGTGAGTGATACCGAGTGTTTGTGTAGTGATACCCGTGTTTTGGTGAGTGATACCAGTGTTTGTGTGACGTAGATCCCAATGTTTGGAGTGAATACCAGTGTTGTCGTAGAGTGACACCATGTTGTTTAGTGACACCAGTGTTTGTGTGAGTGAGTACCAGTTTGTGTAGAGAAACCCAGTTTATGTTGAGTGATCTACCAGTGGTTGTGTGGAGTAACACCATGTTGTTCTTAAGTTGGGACACCAGTGTTATGTGACGTGATACAAGTGTTGTGTTGAGTGATACTAGTGAGTTTGTGAGTGATACCAGTGTTTGTGTGAGTAACACCAGTGGGCGTGTGAGTGATATACCCAGTGTGTGTGAGTGATACCAATGTTGTGTGAGTAACCACCAGTGTGTGGTTAGTGACTACAATGTTGTGTGACACCAGTGTTGTGTATTGCACACAAGTGTTGATGTGAGTGATACTAGTGTTAGTGTGAGTGTTCACCAGATGTTGGTGGAGTGATACCAGTGATGTGTAGTGACACCAGGTTTGTGTCATTATGACACCAGTGTTGTGTGACCACCAGTGTTTGTGTTTAATGACCACCATGTTTTAGTGGTGAACCACCCCCCCACCAGTGTTGTGTTAGTGAACACCAGGTTGTGTGATGCCAGTGTGTCTGTTTAGGACACGAGTGTTGTGATGATCCAGTGTTGTGTGAGTGATATTAGTGTTGATGTGAGTGATACCCTGTTGTGTGGGTGATTCCAGTGTTGTGTGAGTGACACCAGTGTTGTGTGATGTGACACCAGTGTTTGTGGAGTGGAACACCAATTGTTTTGTGTGAAGTGATACCAGTCGTATGTGTGAGGAGATCAACCATGTTGGTGTGATTGATACCATTGTTGAGTGTGATGAAACCAGTGTTGTGGTGAGTGACACAGTGTGTGGGGTGCGTGAACACCAGTGTTGTGTGAGGTGACACCATGGGTGTGAGTGACCACCGATGTGGTATGTGAGCGGTGGACACCAGTGTTGTGTGAGTGACACCATTTGTGTGAGTGATACCCAGAGGTTGATCGTGAGTAGATACCATGTTGGGTGGAGTGTCACCAGTGTGTGTGAGTGACAACCATGTTGTGTGAAGTGATACCATGTGTGAGTGATACCATGTTTGTGTGACGATCCAGTTTGTGTGTGTGATACCAGTGTTTGTGTTGAGGAACACCAGTGGAGTTTTTGCTTGAGGATACCAGGTTGTGGTGAGTGATAACCATGTTGTGTGAGTGAGATCCAGTGATTGTGTGTAGAGTTACATGTTGTGTGAGTAACACCAGTGTTTTTGTTGAGTGATACCCGTGTTGTGTGAGGTAGGATACCAGTGTTAGTTGTGAAGTGATACCAGTGTTGTGGTGAGTGACCCCAGTGTTTTGTGAGGACACCAGTGGTTCGGGTGAATGACACACCATTGTTGTGGGGAGTGATACCAGTGTTGTGTTGAGGTGATACCATGTTGTGGTGAGCGACCCCCAGTGTTAGTGGTGAGTGATAAACCAGCTATTGGTTGTGAGTGAACCATGTTGTGTGAGTGACTCCAGTGTTTGTGTGAGTGAACCAGGGTTGTGTGAGTGAGACACCAGTGTTGAGTGACACCAGTGGTTAGTGTGAGAGATACCAGTGTTGTGTGAGTGACACCATATGTTGAATGACATCCAGAGTTTGTGTGAGTATACCAGTGTCTTGTGGTGAGTGATACCAAGTGTTGTGTGTGTGATACCAGTGTTTGTGTTGAGTGACACCCGGTTGTGTGAGTGATACCAGGGTTGGTGTGACAGTGACTACCATGCTTGTGTGAGTGATTACCCAGGGTTGTGTGAGTGATCCATTGTAGTGTGAGTGATACACAGTGTTTGTGTGAGTGACACGCAGTGTTTTGTGCGTTGACTACCAGTGTTGTGTGAGTGGATATCCAGTGTTGTGTAGATCGATACCAGTGTTTGTGTGAAGTGCTACCAGTGTTGTGTTAGTGACACCAGAGTTTTTTGGTGAAGTGATACCAGTGTTTGTGTGAGGACACCAGTGTGGTGCTGATCTGACACCAGTGGTTTGGAGTGGGGGACACCAATGGTGAGTGGTGAGTGATACCAGTGTTGTGTCTGAGTGAAACCATTGTTGGTTGAGTGAAACCAGGTTCGTGTGAGTGACCACCAGTGTTGTGGAGTGGACACCAGTGTATGATGACAACCCGTGTTGTTGTGAGTTATACCACTTTGTGAAGTGATACCAGGTGTTGTGTGAGTGCATACCAGTCGGTTGTGTGAGTGACACCAGTGCTTTGTGAGTGATACCATGGGGTGTGGTGAGTGACACCAGATGTAATTTGTGTGAGTGACACAGTGTTGGTAGTGATACCATGTTTTGTGGTGATACCAGGTTGTGTGAGGGATACCATGTTGTGTGAGTGATACCCTGTTTGTGTGAGTGACACCAGTTGTTGTGTGAGTGACAACCAGTGTTGATGATGACACCATGTGTCTAGTGACACCAGTTGTTGATGAGTGACACCAGTGTTGGTGTATGTTGATACCAGGTTGGAGAGTGACACACAGTGTTTTGGTGAGTTGATACCATGTTGTGTGAGTGATACCATGTTGTGTTCAGTGATAACCAGTGTTGTTGAGTGACAACCAGTGTTGAGAGATGACACCAGTGTTGTGTGGAGTGATACCAGTGTTGTGTGAGTGAGACCATGTTGTGGTGGAGTGTAACCAGTGTATTGTGGTGAGAGTGACAACCCGTGTTTGTGAGTGATGACCATGTTTGTGAGTGACACCATGTTGTGTGAGTGACACCGAGTGTTTGTGATGATACCAGTGTTGTTGTGCGTGAAACCAGTGTTGTGTGATGACAGCGAGTGTTGCGTGATGACACCAGTGTTTTGTGAGTGACCGCCAGTGTTTGGTGTGATGAGGACCAGTTGTTGTGTGAGTGACCAGGACCAGTGGTTGAGTGACACCATGCTTGTGTGAGTAATACCAGTGTTGTGTGAGGTGATCCCAGTGGTTGTGGTGAAGTGATACCAGTGGTGATAGTGAAGTGATAACCAATGTTGAGTGTAGGATACCAGTGTTTGTGTATGTGACCACCATTTGAGTGACACCCGTGTTGTGGTGAGTGATAACCCCATCTTGTGAGTGATCTACCAGTGTTGTGTTGAGTGAGTCTACCAGTGTTGTGTGGAGTGACACCAGTGTTGTGTGAGTGATACCGTGGTTGGTGGGGAGTGACACCCGTGTTTGTGTGAGTGAACACCAAGTTGGTGTGAGCGATACGACACCAGTGTTGTGGAGTGACACCAGTGTTGAGTGAGGATACCGT